AATCACTACTTGGGAACACATCCCAGCTCCATCATTGTTTTGTTCCTATATTGGGATGGGCGGGAGGAAGAGAGAGAGAGAGAGATTGACACTATTGGGAAGCACAGAAATCTTACAGGCATAGAGACATACAGCACAGAGACAGACACTTCGGCCCAAACCATCCACGCCGAACAGGTTTCCCAAACTGAACTTGTCGCATTTGGAGGGACAAAAACGGAAGTTGCTGGAAAAGCTCAGCAGGTCTGGCAGCCTGTGAAGAAAAAACAAAAATCAGAGTTAACGTTTCGGATCCGGCGACCCTTCCTCAGAACATTCGAACGGCCACTGGACCCGAAACATTAACTCTGATTTTTTTCTGACTTACAGCGTCTGCAGTTCTTTCAGTTTTTATTTAGTCCCATTTACCTGCAATTGGCATATATCCCTTTCAACCTTTCCTATCCATGTAAATGTCCAAATATCTTTCAAATGTTGTAATTGTACCAGCCTCCACCACAATCCTCTGGCAACTCGTACCATACATGCACCACCCTCGGTGTGAAAATGTTGCCCCTCAGGTCCCCTTTAAATCTTTCCCCGCCTCACCTTAAACCTATGCCCTCTAGCTTTGGACCCCCCTATCTATCTTTAGTGCAGGGAGGTTGGTAATGTAATGTAAAAGAAATTGGGTTGTTTATGAAGTTCATAATCAAGAAGCACAAACCGATTTTGGAAGCAGAACAAAGAGAGTGGCAACGATGAACTGGTGGCTCACCTGCAGCTCAGCAATTGTTAACGTCAAACCCAGTCTCCACTTTAATCCAAAACTGACAATCTCACAAGCCCTCTATACGAGGCTGCACCTTCCTATCACGTTTCCAGGGGAACCATTTGTAAACACAGCCAAACAACTGACTGCATGGGGATTGGGCTGGACAATGTTTAGACACTGACAACACACACAAAACAGGGCTGGAAACACTTTCCAACACGTACACGCTCAAATAGCCAATCACCCACAGTGCACCTCATGGAGACCAGGCCGGTTTGGTGGGTGACGGGGTGCTATGCATAACCCATGCTATACTGTCTATCTCACCAAACTCCATTCCCTTCTTCATTTACAGAAATGGCCAAACACTAAAATATCTCTCCTTCTGCCCTCAGTGCCAGAAGTGTCTCAGCTGCTTTCGCCACATCCTGAGATCTACATTCAGTACCACGCGGCGCCACTTGCACACTCTCGACCTCTCTCTCCAACAGCATCGTGTCACACTGGCTCAGGGCTGCACCACTCCACAGTTCCACTTCATCCTCCGGCTCATTCGTTGGGCTAACAAGAAACGTTTTCTTTTTCTTTCAGGCATCAAAGCCCACAAGATGAAACAGCTCAGAGACACCCATGGCCCTCTGGAACCTTCCTCCTCTCCCCTTCCCTCTGACTCCATCCCCTCTCCAAACCCCACCTCCTGTCGGGTATTCACCTTCCCTCCCAACCTTTCGCTCTCTGATGCTGAACGTTCTGTCCTCAAAGGCTTCAGCTTTAATCCTTTGCGTCCCCACCTCAATGAATTTCGGGCACAACATGACGTCAAACTCTTCTTCCACCGTCTTTGCCTCGGTGCCCATTTCTTTGGGCAAGGGTCCTCTCCCCGTCCCACAGACCCCTTCACCCAGTTCCAACACTCTCCCTCCACCTGAACCCCTCCCTCTGGCCTTTTACCTGCACTCGATCTGTTCATTGAGGGCAGGTGACGTGATATTGGTCGTCTCAATTTCTCTGCCCCCCTCAGCAAATCCAGCCTATCCCCCTCCAAACTGACTGAACTCCGTGCACTTAGATCCAACCCTGAATTTGTTATTAAGCCTGCCGATAAGGGTGGTACTGTTGTAGTCTGGCGTACTGACCTCTACATTGCAGAGGCTGAGCGCAAGCTCTCAGATACCGCCTCCTGTTTTCCCCTGGGCCATGACCCCGCCATCACACATCAGGCCATTGTATCAACTACTGCAACTGACCTCATTTCGTCTGGTGATTTCTCCTCCCCCAACTACCACCAAGCTGAATAGCCAGATCATTATCAACTCCTTTGTCTATCCAATTGCTCTTCTCTCTCTTTGGGCTCTATCCTATCGTTTACTCCTTATCCCTACCCCCTCCCTATCTTCTGCATATAAACTGACATTTTCCCAGCTACCATCAGTTCTGAGGAAGCGTCACCGGACCCAAAACATTAACTCTGATTTCTCTTCATATTTGCTGCCAGAGCTGCTGAGCTTTTCCAGCAACTTCTGTTTTTGTGTCCCAACACATAGTCACCCACTGGGTTTCCACTTCTCTGGCAACGGGGACTGGCACCTTCCAGTGCCCAAGGGGAGCGGGCACATCAGTCTGAAGGACTGTTAATCTGTGAGACATAACATATCCTCCATTGGGCCTTTAAACCGAGGCCACATCTGTACGTTCAGGTGGACGTGGAAAATTATATGACACTGAAGAGAAGTAGGGGAGAGCTTTAGGTGTCCCAGCCAGTACTTTTCTCACAGCTAACACCATCTGAATAGATTATCCCATGATTTACTTCAATGATCTTTGTGGGAGCTTGTTGTGCACAAACTAGCAACTGTGTTTCCTATGTTACAGCATTTCCAATCCTACATAAAAGGAGAGCGAACATAGAATAGGTGTTCTTGGACAGCACCTGATCTGACAGTCAATTGATCAAGTGTTTATAAAGCACTTTGGACCTTCTGGGGATGCTGTAGGTACTACATAAATGCACATCCTTCATTTTTTTTCTCTATTTTTAGATATTACAATCTCTGCTCTATCATTTCTATCACCGTTCCTGTCATCAGCTCAGGGGCTCACCACATATCACTTGCCTTAACAACTCAAAGGGCGGTTATTGACTATAATATAATGACCCCAGACAGACCAAATTACCAGCCAGTTAGTTGACCCCATTGTTGCTATGAGAGAGGCCAATGATTCCTTTTGCAGCGAAGAACTCAAACTGTAGGGCATTAAGATAACATAGTCAGCATGAAATCCAATCAGAGAATTCAGAAGAAATGACTTTCCTTAATCCAGTGGATAATGAGAATATAAAACTCTATCACAGGGAGTAAATGTACAGATACGTTTAAGGGAAAGCTAGACAAAAACATGAGAGTAAAGAGAAAAGAGGGATTTAGATCAGAAAGGATGGATAGAGCTGTGGTGGAACATAAATACCAGAACTGACTGCTTGGGCCAACTGGCTTGTTCCTGTGCTGTTTGTCCTATGTGTTTATTTAAATAATTGAAATGTTTGCATGAAGTGCCTCCCTACACATATGACATTCAATTTCCTTAAGTAATAAGCAACCTGTGCATGTCATAGAGTCATACAAGATGGAAACTGACCCTTAGGTCCAACTAGTCCATGCCAACAATGTTCCCAAACTAAATTAGTCCCACTTGCCTGCATTTGGCCCATGTTCCCCAAAACCTTTCCTATTCATGTACCTGTACAAGTGGCTTTTAGATGTTGTAACTGTACCCGCATTCATTACTTGCTCTGCAAGTTCATTCCACACACAAACTACTCTCAATGTAAAAATGTTGCCCCTCGGCCTTTTTAAAACTCTCTCCTCTCATCTTAAAAAATATGCCCCCTAATTTTGAATTCCCCCACCCTAGGGAAAAGACCTTGCTATTTACCTTAGCTATGCCCCTTATGATTTTATAAACCTCTGTAAGGTCACCCCTCAACCTCCTAAGCTCCAGTGAAAAAAGTCCCAACCTATCCTTATAACTCAAACCCTCCATTCCCAGCAACATCCTTGTAAATAATTTTTGAACCCTTTCCAATTTAATAATATCTTTTCTATAGCAGGGTGACCAGAACTGGATGCAGTACCCCAGAAGAGGCCTCACCAACATTCTGTACAACCTCAACATAATGTCCCAACTCCTATTCTCAAAGTTGCGATATGCCTTCTTAACCACCCTGTCCATATGTGATGCAAACTTCGAAGAATTATGCACCTGAACCCCTAGGTCCCTCTGTTCTACAACACGACCCATGGCCCTACTTTAAATTGTAAAGTTCCTGCCCTTGTTTGTTTACCAAAATGCAATATTTCGCATTTATCCAAATTAAACTCCATCTGCCAATCTTCATCCCATTGATCCAATTGATCAAGGACTTCTTGTTATCTTAGATAACCTTCTTCACTGTCCACTATACCACCAATTTTGGTGTCATCTGCAAACGTACTAACAATGCCTCCTAAACTCTCATCCAAAGCGTTTACATTGACGACAAACAAAATTGGTACACCACTGATCACAGTCCTCCTTATGTTATGGTCAGTAATGGCTTAAAGAAGTAGGAGAATATTTCTAATAGTCACTTGACTATATAGAGCTTGAGTATGACTGAAAAGAATGATTTTGTCAAAGCTTGCTGTCTTGGTAGAATTGTAAGAATTCCAAATCTCAAAAGGGAACCACAATTATTACTACAGTCTTTCAAACAAATTAGGTTTTCTTTTAATGAAACATTAATATTTAGGTGCCGTGAACTTACAAGGCTGTAATTGGAAAACAAAGGGCATTAACTAGGGGATCACAAATTCAAGATGGTCAGCAAGAGAGCTAGGAGTGACAAGAGGAGAAACATTTTTACTCAGGGAGTTGTTAAGATTTGGAATGTGCTGCCTGGGAGAGTGGTGGAGGCGGATTCCATTGGAGGCTTCGAAAGAGAGTTAGATATTTATTTGACAGGGTTGAATTTAAAGGGCTATGGAGATAGGGCTGGAGAGTGGGACTAGCTGGGTAGTTCTTTCAGGAGCCAATACAGACTTGATGGATCGAATGGTATCTTCTTTACTGAATCTATGAACCTATAATAATGCAGCTGAAAATATCATTGAAGTTGGAATGGGCCACTTGAGGAATGGGCAATAAACACTGGCCTTGCCAATGGTTCTCACATCCCACAAACGGACACAAGAAAAAAAGCTTTTACCTGTTGCTCAGACGCCAAGTTCATCTTATATGGATGTTGCTTTCCCTCCTCACTAGACATTGGTGACCACATTTTGGATTCAGACCTACCAAAAGGAAAGGAAGGACACTTCAATTTTACAAAACAGTTAAATTCAGAGCTCTAAGCTGTGAAATGCCCTCCCCAAATCTTCTCCATCTCCCCCCACTCTTCCTTCCTTTAAAACTCTCCTTAAAACCTACCTCCTTGACTAATTTTGATCAGTAGTTTTAATATCACCGCATGTGGCTCAGGGTGAAATTTTGTTCAATAATATTCAACATGGTGCTCAGTACGGAAAATATTCAACATGGTGCTCAGTTACGAGTGGTGTACCACAAGGATCTGTCCTGGGTCCATTCCTATTTGTGATTTTTGTAAATGATTTGGATGAAGGAGTGGAGGGGTGGATTAGCAAGTTCTCGGACAATACGAAGGTGGGTCGCGTTGTGGACAGTGCAGAGGGCTGTTCTAGGTTACAAAGGGACATTGATAGGATGCAGAGTTGGGCTGAGAAGTGGCAGACAGAGTTTAACCCTGAAAAGTGTGAGGTGATTCATTTTGGAAGGACAAGCTTGAAAGCAGAATACAGGGTTAACGGAAAGATTCTTGGCAGTGTGGAGGAGCAGTTCCCTGAGAGCTGCCACCCAGGTGGATAGAGTTGTTAAGAAGGCGTATGGTGTGTTAGCTTTCATTAATAGAGGGATTGAGTTCAAGAGCCGTGAAGTTATGCTCCAGCTATACAAAAGCCTGGTTCAGCCACATCTGGAGTATTGTGTCCAGTTCTGGTCGCCTCATTGCAGGAAAGATGTGGAAGCATTGGAGAAGGTGCAGAGGAGATTTACCAGGATGTTGCCTGGAATGGAGGGAAGGTCTTACAAGGAAAGGTTGAGAGAGCTCGGGCTTTTCTCTTTAGAACGACGAAGGATGAGAGGTGACTTGATAGAGGTGTACAAAATGATCAGAGGTATAGATAGAGTAGACAGCCAGAGACTTTTTCCTAGGGTGGAGGTAGCTATCACAAGGGGCATAGTTTTAAAGTGAGTGGAGGTAGATACAGGGGAGACATCAGAGGTAGGCTCTTTACTCAGACAGTGGTCGGTACGTGGAATGCATTGCCGGAGAGGGTAGTGGAGTCGGCCTTATTAAGGGCATTTAAGCGGCTATTAGATAGGCATATGGATGATAGTATAAGGTAGGGGTGGAGGTAAATAGGCCTTAGGATTAGGGTAAAAGTTTGGCACAACATCGTGGGCCAAAGGACCTGTACTGTGCTGTACTGTTCTATGTTCTATATGTTCTAATGCTTTTGCTGTACAGTCCTTTGTGAAGTTTGACTATGTTTCAATTTCTTGATAGACAAGAGTAGTGCATGTTGTTGATGCCAGGTTACTCACACTGGATTGATTTGGCTCTGAACGGGAGAGTATTTGGAGAGTATAACGGTGAGCACTGAGCTCTTGGGGCCTGAATCAGAAGTGGCAACTGTGTTATGCTTATCAATATCTCCCCTCCATTCTGAACAGTCGTAATTCTCAAGATGATTCAGGTGGGGCTATGTTACAGAGAATGTGCGTCTGCAAAGACTTCTGCACCTCCCGATGAGCCTAATTATGCTTCTGAGGGGCTCGCTAAAAGCTTCACATCTCTACCCACAATCCACTACTTCCTTGAAATGGCTATAAGGGGTCGCATAACTCTTCACTGTCCTTCTTGAAACCACAAATGTTCATTCCCTGACATCCCAGCACACACAGAAACAGGGAAACATCGACAGTTCAGACGAAGATGAGGAGAATTCTTTACCCCCTCACTTCCCCAGAGAGCGGTGGAGGCAGGGTCATTGAATATTTTAAGGCTAAGGTGGGCAGATTCTTTACTAACAAGGGTCAAAGGTTATCAGGGTAGGCTAGTCCACCAGGCAACCCCCAAGTTAAATGCAGCCTGCAAAAAGACTCCCATTGACCACACTTCACCAACGAATATCTCAGCAGCAAATTCAGGACAGGAGCAGTGGGCTGTGCTTTAAAACTTTGAAACATAGAAAGCAGGTTTAGGAGTAGGCCATTCGACCCTTCAAACCTGTTCCGCTATTCAATCTGATCATGGCTGATCATCCAATTTAGTGCCCTGCTTCCGCTTTCTATATGAGCAGACCAATGCTCTCTTCTCCGGGCCCCCCAACCCTCTCGAAAATTATGACCATACCCTATGAACCCTTTCACCCCAAGGACAATATTTAACTCCTTCCTGAAAAAGTTCCAATATTGGAATTCTTTTCACTTCAAATTCATGATTACCTGATCTTTCTGAAATTTGCTCCCTCAAATCTCTCTCCACTGAGTGAGAGAAAAATTGAAATGTGTCCCAAACACTCGAACAAGGTCAAATGGTTGAGAAACCCTGGTGTGCGGGCTGGCCAGGAATGATAAAACAATTTAATGTTATCTCTCTGTTCCTTTTCCTTTCCAATTCCCCCATTTACTCAGCACTGTCACAATGATTACTCTTCCCCAACTTCTGCTGGCGGGCACACTATTCTAATCCAATCCCATCACATTTACATTTCTCACCAATGTACCTTTTCATTTTGTGTTAGAACTTCCTTTTTCATTCTTCCTGGCAGTTCTAATTCCATCACTTGCTTCATTACTTGTCCTCTCTCTCTCACACTCTCTGGTTTGTTTTCTCTGTCTCTTTCTCTCTACACAACAGGTGACTGTACCATTTGAATCTCTGTTCAGTTACTTTCTTTGAAACTTCCATAATTTTCTGGATGCTTGTGGATGTGGTGCCAATCAAGCGGGCTGCTTTGTTCTGGACGGTGTCAAGCTTCTTCAGTGTTGCTGGGGCTGCACTCATCCAGGGCAAGTGGGGAGTATTCCATCACACTCCTGACTTACACCTTGGAGATAATGGACAGGCTTTGGAGAGTCTGGAGGTGAGTTACTTACTGCCTCTGACCTGCTTTTGTAGCCACTGTTTATGTGATGAGTCCAGTTGAGTGTCAGGTCAATAATAACCCCCAGGATGTTGATTGTGATAGATTCAATGATGTAACACCGTTGAATGTCAAGGGACTGTGGTTAGATTGTCTTTTATTGGTGATGATCATAGCCTGGCATTTGTGTGGCACAAATGTTACTTGCTACTTGTCAGCCCAAGCCTGGATATTGTCCAGATCTTCAGTATATGAGGAATTGTAAATGGTGCTGAATATTGTGCAATCATCAGTGAAGATCCCCACTTCTGACCTTATGATGGAGGGAAAATCATTGATGAAGCAGCTGAAGACAGTTGGACCTAGGGTACTATCCTGAGGAATTCATGCAGCGATGTCCTGGAGCGGAGATGACTGATCTCTGACAAACATGACCATCTTCCTAAGTGCCCCATATGACTCCAGTGGAGAATTTGCCCCCTGAAACCCATTGATTCCAGTTTTGCCAGGGGTCATTGATGCCATATTCTGTCGAATGCAGACTTGATGTCAAGGGCTGTCACTCTCACCTCACCTCTGGAATTCGGTTCTCTTGTCCATGTTTGAAACAAGGCTGCAATGAGGTCAGAAGCTGAGTGGCCATGGCACAACTCAAACTGGGCATCACTGAGCAGGGGCTGCTTGATAGCACTGTGGATGACACATTCCATCGCCTTACCGATAATCGAGAGTAGACTGATAGGACAATAATTGGCCGGTTGGATTTGTCCTGCTTTTTTTGATGTAAGGACATACCCAGGCAATTTTCTGCATTATCAGGTAGATGCCAGTGTTGTGACTGTACTGGAACAGCTTGGCTAGGGGAGCGGCAAGTTCTGGAGCAGAGGTCTTCAGTACTATTGCTAGAATGTTGTCAGGGACCATAGCCTTTGCAGTATCCATGACTCCAACCATTTCTCGACATTATGAGGAGTGAATCAAATTGGCTGAAGACAGGTATCTGTAATGTTGGACACCACTGAGGGGGCCGAGATGGATCATCCACTCAGCACTTCTGGCTGAAGATTGCTGCGAATGCTTCAGCCTTACCTTGTACACTGATGTGCTGGGCTCTTCTATCATTGAGGATGGAGATATTTGTGGACCTTCCTCCACCAGTGAGTTGTTTAATTGTCCACCACCATTCACGACTAGATGTGGCAGGACTGCAGAGCTTAGATCTGATCCATTGGTTGTGGGATCGCTTAACTCTGTCTATTACTTGCTGCTTTCGCTGTATGGCATGCAAGCAGTCCTGTTTGGTGGCTTCACCAGGTTGACACCTCATCTTCAGGTATGCCTGGTGCTGTTCCTGGCAGGCCCTCCTGTACTCTCTATTGAACCTAGGCTTGATGTTAGACGTTGAGTGGGGGATATGGCCAGACCACGAGGTTACAGATTGTGCTAGAATATAATTCTGTTGCTGTTGATGGCTCCCAGCACCTCATGGATGCCCAGTCTCGAGTTGCTAGATCTGTGCGAAGTCTGTCCCATTTAGCACGGTGATAGTGCCACTCAACATGATGGAGGTTATTCTCAATGTGAAAACAGGACTTTGTTTCCACAAGGACTGTCCAATGGTTACTCTTACCGATACTATCATGGACAGATACATCTGCAGCTGGCAGATTGTTAAGGATGAGGTCAAATGTATTTTCACTCTTGTTGGTTCCCTCACCACCTGCCGCAGACCCAGTCTAGCAGCTATGTCCTTTAGGACCCGACCAGCTCGATCAGTCGTACTGCTGCCAAGCCACTCTTGGTGGTGGCCATTGAAATCCCCCACCGAGTACATTTGGTGCCCTTGCCATCCTCAGTACCTCCTCCAAGTGTTGTTCAACATGGAGGAGCACTGATTCACCAGCTGAGGGAGGACGGTATGTCAGGACGGTTCCTTGCCCATGTTTAACCTGAAGCCACGAGACCTGTCAGGGTCCAGAGTCAATGTTGAGGACTCCTAGAGCAACTCCCTCCCAACTGTATATTCAAATGCTGTCCCCGCTGCTGGGTTTGTCCTGCCGGTGGGACAGGACATATCCAGGGACGGTGATGGTGGTGTCTGGGACATTGTCCGTAAGGTATGATTC